CCACGGTTCCCAAAGTTGTAGCCGGTCTATGAGTTTCCTCTGTCCAGGAGGCTGCAGCTCACAGTGGTGATCTGCAAGGCTGCAGCCACCAGAGGCCGAGAATTAACAGTAGAACAAGGAAGGGAACCAACTTGCCACTGCAGCCCCAGCATGTCATGCGCACTGAGCACTGCGACCCAGTGCTCTTCAGCGCCTCGCCAGGCAGACAGTGGCAATGACCGCGCACCAGGCGCAGTCCCTTCCACGCAGCCCCCCCAGAAAGGAACACAGGATCACGTGGAGCAGCGCGGCACGTGCCGGGCTCGGCAGCACCAGGCCCCCGAGGTTGTCGCGCGCTAGAACGCCCAACGGTCGGTCGGTTGTGCAGGACCAGGGACTCCAAGCCCGCTGCCTCCACCTCGCCCCGCCCCCTCGCGCCCAGTCCCCCGGCACAAGCCGGTCGTAGCAGCCCTGTTCTGCCCGCCCGGGGCCCCGCTACCTGGCACACGGCGCTGCGGAAGCCGCGGTAGGTCTCCTCGTCGCAGCTCAGCACTTTCTCCTTAGGGTCCCCCTGCTCCCGGCGCCGGTCGAACAGGAACACGGTCCGGTCCCTGCTGCCGTGCGGCCCTGACAGGCTCGGCCCGGGAGCTCGGGTGCTGCCTCCCGCCACCGCTGCCATGTTGGGGAAGCAGAAAGCAGTAGAGACGGAAGCTGCCCAGTCGCCGTTGCCTGAGCCTGGCTTCTGGCGCGCGAGCTCCCCCGCCTGGCGCTGCTCTCCCAGCGAGCGGCAGCCTCCTCTGGGAAGGGGGCGGGGCTGGGGAGCCCCAGGGAAGGGGTGGGGCCTGCCGAGTGAAGGGGCGGGGCCTGGAGATGGAACCTAGGCCGGGGAAGGGGGACACGGAAGTACAATAGCGGAAGGGGCAGGGCTGAGGGTGGAGCTAAGAGCTGAGCGTGGGCTAGGGACCAGGCAGTTCCATCTATCCCGGAAGTGAAGTAACTCGCGAAAGAATCATCTCGGGATGGACTGAAACCAAGGGCCGTACGTCACTTCCGTGCCAGTATGCACCATAGAGAGGGGAAATGAGGTAGCCAGGGGAGCCCCGTTTTTTCACCCAGGAATTCTGAGCGCTGCTGCTGCCCCCTCAGGCGGTGGGAGGAGACCGTCTGTGCAGGCGGCACCGGAATCACGTGTTCCTCTGCTCCCCTCCCAGCCGGGCTCGCTTCCGGACCAAATCGAAGCTGCTGCGCTGGTAGGCGGAGACTCGTCGCCACAGGAGGCTGCTGGAAACTCTGGCCCTGCAGCCGCAGTCTGAGGCTCTACCTCCCGCCCCCGCTTGGAGCAGAGCCCTGAGCAGCCCCCCGCACGGCCCCATGTTCGCGGCGGCCGCGGCTGTTCTTAGCCCTGGAATCGCCCTTTCTGCCCCGGGCCCCAAGCTGTTCCCACCCAGCTCCTCCCGCTCACTGGTATCGTCCTGGGGCGTCACCACCGGACGCCCTCCGAGGGGCTCCGTTGCCAATTGAGCAGAGTGCAGGGTCCCGCTCCTCCTGGAGATGATCAAAGATTCAGTTGCTCTCAACCCACCCTGGCCACGCAAAGCAGGGGACCCAGCTCCGCCCTGCAGTTGTTGCCCCTTCCCACCTGTATTTCCGGAGAGTAGAGACTCTGTTCTGGATCTGCGTGCTTACGGAGAGAGTTGTTTGACTCTGAAAATAACGTGAGGGTGGGAAGCAAAAGTGTTGTACTGAAGTGACACCCACAACGCCACACACAATCCCAGATGTAGATCCCTAGAAATATTTAGTAAAAGATCAAACCGACAATAATTTGTGATCAGATTACATATATAACCATTATTAGATTTCAGGGTTAGCACACTACTGAGACGAATGGAGCTAATCACTACCTCTGAGTTGCTATTTGGTTTGCAAACTCAGGAAGACAATGCTTCATTGTCTCTGCACTGATAAAGCCTAGAAAATATTTTTAAACGTAGACATAAATTCTGCAGAAACTCATTGGGCTACCACAGGAATGCTGATCTACTTATAACCACAAACTACTTAAATACAGAATAGTAAGGAAATCCACCCCAAACAAACAAAATCATGGAACTAACGATGTGTGCTGCCATCCCACACGCAGTCTCTGAGGACCAGGAGCTCCATGCATCGAATGCACATACGCCACCCGCCCACAGGGCAGGTAATCATACATGCTGCACTCAGCGCAATAAACTGGATAGCCCCCACTCTGCTGCTGGTCTTCTGCCTGGATGGTCTCCTGGTTAATTAAAGGGTTTTGTTTAAATCAAGAAGTTTAGATAATAGTATTAAAGAAAACAGCAAGGGGCCCTTGCTCCCTTCCCACTCCCCTTCCAAACTCCCTTGCGAAACTCCGTATTAGCAGCCCCTGTTCGCAAAGCTCCCTGGTCTCTTGCGCACTGCTTTATAAGCCCTAAAGTAGGGTTACCATACGTCCGGATTTTCCCGGACATGTCCGGCTTTTTGGGCCTCAAATCCCCGTCCGGGGGGAAATCCCAAAAAGCCGAACATGTGTGGGAAAATAGGGAGGTGCTGGGCCGGCCGGGGCCGGCAGTGCTAGGCCGGGGGTGCTGGGCCGGGCCGGGTTTGCTCGGCCAGGGGCTGGGGTGGGGGCCGGTGTGGGACCGGCAGTGCTGGCCCAGGGGCCAGGCCGGGGCTGCTGGCCGGGGGCCGGCAATGCTGGGCCGGGGCCGGCGGTGCGGGGCCGGGGGTGCTGGCCTGGGGGTGCTCGGCCAGGAGCTGGCCCAGGGCCGGCACCCCAGGGCCCGAGCGGAGCCAGGCTGGAGACGCTGGGTCTGGGGCCGGGACTGGCCGCCGGAGGGAGCCGCTCGGTTGTGGGGAGGGGGGGGCAGACTGGTCCGTGCCTCCTCCCCCCACCCCTCCCAGCTTACCTGCCTGCTTCAGGTTTCCCGTGAATCAAATATTCGCGGGAAGCAGGGGAGGGGGCGGAGTTGGGGCGGGGACTTTGGGGAAAGGGTGGAGTTGGGGCGGGGCTGGGGGCAGGGCCGGGGCCCTGTGGAGTGTCCTCTTTTTGGACACTCAAAATATGGTAACCCTACCTAAAGTGCTCAAGTTACAGAGAGGTTTGCGGGGGGAGGTGAGCCCCCTTACTACTTATAGGGACTATCTTACTTCTGCTTTATGGCCTCCTTACTTTTTACTACTGTTTAAATTAAAGCAAGCCACTTGACATTCAGCCGCTCCCCTTCCCCCCCCCCAAACACACACACACACACACAGACATAATTTTTTCCCCATAATTCAAGAACTGCCAGGTTCACTAATCCTGTTCCCCTTAAATCAAATAGAGTTTTGACATGGATTTAAATGGGAGTGGGACTAGCCCCCAAGTGACTAAAGTCAAATGGGGGGAATTATACAAATCCAGTATAGAAAGTGGCTATGGAATACCTTAAAAAAAAAAAAAAAAAAACCTACACAAACATAACACACGATAAACTACTATGAATATGATTTCTTATAACACTACTCCCCTGAAGGACCTTATTGGTTTCTTTTTATACTTTTTCTCCATAAAGACTTTATAATTTTTAAAAATTGGAATTTTTGTGTCATTTTGATAATGCCACTTTATTCAATTTCCCCCTTTCTAAGAATAGAAAGAATATAACTCCAGAACAGCATTTAACTAAAATAGTTCAGGAGATATTTAAATTTAAATGTATTCTCAGCTCTCTTTAAAGTAGCAGTGAAACCAATGTATGCATCCGAAGAAGTGAGGTTTTAACTCACGAAAGCTTATGCCCAAATAAATCTGTTAGTCTTTAAGGTGCCACCAGACTCCTTGTTGTTTTTGTAGATACAGACTAACACGGCTACCCCCTGATACTTGACACAATGTAGATCAGGAAACAGTTCAAAGCTTCCTAGCCCACATACTCCCCACCCTCCACACACTTGAAGTGACAAAAATGCTCTATGGAAGGATTGCTGTTCATGACCTAGAGAAAGAAAATCATAATTGAAACACATATTCATCCTTTCTGAAGCTGCAGCCTATGTTTAATGCTCTTGCAGTGTTTGTGGTTAACCCAGGGAAGTTTGAACACACACACACAGTTTTGTACACACTCCTGCTATAATTATAGATCAGCCTAGATGTTCTCGGTAAGACTGTCTGTACTTTGTTCTTATATCCTGTCCTAAAGTATATGCATCTTCTCTCTGTCATGCCAGCTTTTGTCCCCAAATGCCTGTCAAATAAGTCAGGTATTTATGAGATTGTTATTTGAATATGTAGATAGATAAATCATAGGGCTAACTGCAGATATCCTCTCAGAGATTTATCTTTATGTCCATATTTGTTGCTGTTTCTTTAAGCAGTCTCTGTTTTAGGAATAAATAATTTGTGCAGGAGCATTTTATACAAGGCCTGACCTAGAGTAATTGGAAAGGATTTTTACCTACTGACAAGCTCAGTTTTCTCGCAATTTGTAGACAGCATACGTGAAGGTATCTATTGTGTCCTGAGATAGACTAGTCATATGATTCCCTGCCCACTTTTTTAGGATCATGCAGTTACATGGAGGTGAATAGGGTTGAAGTAGTATCTGTAGTCTCAGGAGGAGTACTGTGGGTTTACAGAAGCAAAACTAGCATAACAGCTTCAAAAGAGAATAACTTTACCCATGAATCAGGCCCACAACTTTTGTGCTAAGCTACATTTCTCATAGATTTAAGGCCAGAAGGGACTATCATGATCATCTAGTCTGACCTCTGTTACCTAGCAGTTCTGTGTTCTTGGGGAACCAGGGTGCAGTACCCAGCCTGTCTGACTCACAAAAGACCTCCCCCCCACCCCCGCCCGCCTCTGTTTGAACCAAAACCCATCAGAAGAAAGACTTACAAAAAGCAATGAAAAGGCAGTGGGAGACACCCCCCCCCGCGGGACAAGGGTGATCGGATTAAGGAAACTCCCCTAGCCTCATTTGCATTGAAGATGGGACAGGGAGGCATCTCTATTATCATAAAGAATGGAGAACAGAGATTCCAAGGCAAGACCCACACTGAACTCTGGGATTAGAAAAGCAGGGAAGCACTGCATCATGGGGGAGCTCTGCTCCAGATGTTAATGAACCCATGCCTGCACACACCCAGCTCAGTAGTTATCAGACCAAGTCTAGTAATAAATCCTATATTGGTATCTAAAATAGTGAAGCTCCCTAATTGCATCGTGAGCTTCCTCCAAGGAACACCGCCCATAGCCAGGAATGATCAGTTCCTGTTGTCTAGCCTGAATAAAGCAACTTTGGTATACTCCCTTGAACCATCAGTTTACTCATAAACAAATCTAGTGTTCTCCCTTGAACCATTGTTGTTTCCCTACAAAAACCCCTACCCATGCTCAAGTAAGTGTTCTGATGCCTGGATCCAAAATCTGCATCAGTTCCATTGGGACTTCATCTTCTCCTAACTGATCGTGCTGGGGGCTCTGCCTGTGTCCAGCACTCCAGACCCTCAGCT